AGTAGACAAATGTTGCAAAAGTGGAAAATTGACCCTACCAATCTCTGCCAAGGCACTCAATACAGTTTACATTTAAACGAAAATTACTCCGAAAAAAGTTCCCACAAAAGTTGCCTGCCTAATTTTTTGAGAGTAATATGGTGTTGAACTATTGTACATATTTTCAACTATAAAATTTTGATGCAAAAATATTTTCAAATGAAGGAAACGTCAAGGTATCTATGGGATTCGCATTTAGTGTTGTTTTCTAGATTTAATTTATAAGAATATTATTCTTAGGACGACCTATCAAACTTAGCAGCAAATTAACAAATTAATTGTAATCTAGCTATAAGCAATATTATCAGTTAAAAAAGCATTAATATCGGGGTGAGCTGGCGGATGGGTTATCAACTGTCTTTGATGGCTTTAATGGCTCAGTGCCCTAAAATAATGATAACTTGTTTTGCATTAAATAATCGACAAACCCACTCACACGTCTAAAAAATATTCAACACCTAAAAAAATTTTTAGACAGCGTTTGAAATGCAGGTAAGACAATTCGAGAAATATCACCCTTGTAACCTATAGAGGTGTCCGTTTTGGTCCTGAAAATGAATCTTCAAAGATGCTGTATCTGGATAAAATTTAATAGCACAGTTTACATGTTGCCTTCACCGAGCAACTCAATGGAAGATCACCATTTCAAAAATTTGTTTTCACAAAAAAAAGGGAAAAAACCTATTTTGAGTAGCAAATAGAGCTTGATAAGTTGACAATGAGCAACACCAAGTGCAAATATATACTGCACGATTCCTTACAAATATTGACTAATTGCAAAATAATATAGACCTAAGGATTTTTAAGCCACCTGCCTAAAATTATGCCCTTTAAGCCAGACTGACTGTAAGGGCAGTGAATTGTCTATAATCTGTTCTCTATTTATTTGCCTTCAAAGGCAATTAAAAGTTACACAGTCAATTTTAATTAAAGACAAGTTGGCAGAATAAGATTGAAAACAGTTAGTTTTTTTAAATATCAGCAGCATCGTCTACGGTTATGAAAACTCAAACAGGCCTACACTGAATCAATACGTCGATAGTGTGTTTTAGTGTGCTCATTGAACAAGAGCATTATTTATTTTGGTGGCTCTGCTTAGACATGGTCAAGGTAAGGGTATTTTTTTTAAATCTGAGCGCATTATAGGGTCCAAAGAATAAACAAAGCAAGTATTATGGTGGTGATCAATATGATGAAAATGATGAAGGTAACTTTCTATGTCTGTTCATTATGCTTCAATTCCATTGCTTCCAAAAATGGTTTAAATTGAGAATTCATTGTGTACTTATTTGGAAGTATTTATTTAACGTCAGCGTTAATCTAGACAATATCTGACTTCATTATAAAAAAACGTTTTGACTCGTGTAATTTCCTAGTCATTTAAGCTCACTTTTTGATTGTCTTTACTTATCTGGATCAACTCTTGACTGTATGCCCCAGTTTAGTGCTTATTAAATGTGGCTGCAGCCGTCAATTGTGTTCTAGTCTATTATGTTGCATAATTTCAAAAGTAACGCCCCTAATGATTTTTTGTTTTTTCCTGTTTATACTTCTGGTCTAATCTTGACAATACTAGATCCTGGGAACAAATTATCTTTCGCCCCATCATCGTAATGCATAATTGTTTTGCTTAAAAGTACTGCTCGCTTTTTCATTTCTATACTCTCATTGGACACTTTCATTTAAACAATCCAGAATTAGTTTTTAAATTTCACCAACACCTATACTTATTGCCACAAAATGGGTTCTTTTTAGGGGTGATATCTAAAGCTTTTTACTCATATTTTCGTCTCCGTTTAGAATCTTTGAAACTATTTCTCAAGGACTGCCATCAGAGACAGTCCGCCCTTTACTCGATTCATCCCGCTCCTCATTCGCCGGTTGCTTTTTTTCTCAGTCCCTTGTCAAAGGGCGAGTTGCTTTACACCTCGGGCCAGAGTCGACTTCATTTACACCTTCGAGAAAACACCCCAGCCCAGCGCGGAAACATTGACTATCTCATTTTCAAGCGACCCGTCACTAACGTATGTCAGGTCCCCAAGTTTCCAAGCACTCTTGACGAAGAAGCTGTCGCATTTAGAAGCCACGGACTTCCCCTTCTTGTGTGGCCCAGAAATCGCGATAAGCCCACTGTCCAGAAAGTAGGTGCTTTTTATCTGTGACTGCATGTTTCTTTGTCATACTGAATATTGGCATGGCAATATTAAAACAACTACTTTACGGTTTATGCATTCAACGAAAATCCCCAACCGTAGTTGCCCTCTAGACGTCTACTGAATTCAAATATTTGCGCTCTGTAGCATGAACCACCTGATGTCATGTCGTCTAATAATTCACACAGATAAACAAAGCCCATCCTAAACGACCTCGTTTGCATTGTTGTTGCTTCAGTACTTGGATGACAACTATCCCGACTGTGGGAAGTGGTTTAGGGAGCTGGACAAGTGTCAGGGCTGGCTGAAAGAAAAGTGGACACCATTAGCCGCCTTCCTTGGTTTGGAACTCCCGTCTTCCTTGAACCCTCCCAAGGAAAAAAAGGTCCTGCTGGATTTCCCGCCTGACTGCGTCGCGGCCACCTACATTAAGGAGCGCATTGCCTGGCTGTGCGAGTGAGTCCAACAGCCCATCTGCCGGCTGTCTGTCTCCTTTATCGCCTACCTTCTCACTCCGTCTTTTGTAGTTACTGTAGTCTTCTCGAGTCGTATCTTGTGCATCGGCGCATCGCTACCCCCGGCTTCCATCACAACCCCATCCACTATCAGCTAAACGCCCAGCATGAGGTCAGTTTTAAACCCAACCAACCAATCACAGCTTGGATTTCGTAGGACCTAATTTGCCTATTCCTCGTTCGTATGTCCCCTTCAAGGTCTTCGTTTTTACGTGGCCTACTCTGCTAAGCTAATGCAAATAACAATCTGTAGAGACCAGGAGTATTACACCACTTCGTCGAGGCATAAATGTGCGATTGCCACCTACGTGTCTTGTGTCCTCCCCTATTTTACTGATCTTAATAGAAAAATACACTATTTTTAAATGACAAGCACTTTGTTAAAGCAAATAGTGATGTAAGTGTGATCGTGTAATATTGCAGGGCCGATTTTAGTAGCTTTAAAAATGTTCGCTCAGAATTGCACCACGGTTTTTTTCGTAGGTGCACCCCGTTAAATACAGGGCAAGTCAAAAGCAACCAGACAGCGGAGCAAATCCACGTTAAATTGATTAAATTTACCATTAATTTGATCAATATTTCGCGTTCTTTCGTCGTAGACTTTTTTTATCTTAGAAAGTGTCATCCTCTCTACAGATTTACTGTAATATTTCGAAGGCCTCTTGACGATGCGGTCTCAATAGGGTATTATTCAACATTTTTGGAATGGATCTTTGAGTGGTGTCAAGTTCTTGTTAAACATCGACGATCTGTTTGTGAAAGATGTTGGCAAGCACCTGCTGACTCAAGCGATCCTTTGATTGTCTAAATATCTCCTAGTTATCTTATTGCCTACCCAATGACCCACATCCCGTAAATGTGTGAAAATTGGCGAAATTTTTATCCGTTGTGTACTGGTTGTTTAATCAATACTTAGCGCTACTTCTCGACTTAAATTTGGTCAAAATGAACGTCCTTTTTTTCACTGGGCGTGCGTCGCATCTTGTAGGAGCGGTTGCAAGCGGTGGCCAACGACTCGGGCTTCTTCAATGTGGCCGGCGATCGTCTGCTGCAGTTGGGCAAAGCCGCCACCGCCGAGGGCAGGCAGGTGCGCCTGCAGATCCACGAAATGGCCAAGACGATCGCGGACTCGCAGAAGCGCGCCCAATTGTAGGTCATCTAGTACACCCTCCAATACCATTCAAGCCTTCACCTTCCTTGCTTCCGCATTGGCTAAATAGTTGTAATTAGGCGAACATTCATTCACCACTTTAACGCCCGAGTCCCCAACCTAGCCACTAACCAGCGCCATCCAACTGAAAATTCATATCTTCAAATTTGCTAACTAGCTGAACAGATTCAGCTTGTACTAATCGGTGTTATCTTTTGTCCCCTCTAAAGCCTGAGCGTCCTCCTTCCAATGGCTGATCTCAAAGACGCCCTTTCGCACAATGTAAGTTACTTGGATCACCCAGTTCCTACATCATCGATTGTAATCATCATGCCTGATTTTTCTGTTTCTCTTCCACAGCAAGCTCCTTCGAAGAATTCATCGAAAAACGGGTACGTGCTCTTACCGCACTCAATGACCTGTTTCAGTTGATTGGCTATTGGTCTTCTGATAGCCAATCACCGCATAGCATCCCTTTAGCCAGCCACCGGCTGTCTGTCATTGGTCGGTTTGGAAGTTTCCAATTAGGCCAGAAGCGGCTTAGTGTTGAATTCTTGAAACAACTTTTAAGCCGTAATGTTTTTTTTACGGAGACAAATTCAAAAAGTTGTCATTGGTAGTGTCTTCACACATCACGCCGAGCATGCAGGCAGTGACCTGTTTCAGTCGATTGGCTATTGGAAGAACAATAGCCAATCACCGCATAGTACCCCTTTAGCTAGCCATCGGCTGTCTGTCATTGGTCAGTTTGGAAGCTTCCAGTAAAGCTATAACCGGCTTAGTTTTGAATTCTTAAAACAACTTATAAGCCTATACACGCAGAGCCGTAACGCTTTTTTTTATTGAGATAAATTCAAAAAGTTGTCATTGGCATGCATGTTGGATCTCACACTAAGACTACTTCAACTCCAACAGATCCTTCAGTAAAGCGCGAGCAGCCCTACTGGAAGCCCTGGAAGAAGACTCTTCCGAAGAGGAACCAGATCAAGTGGAAAACAGTGCTGATGAAGAAGAAATGGACGTGGATGACACCGAGAGCGATGCCGGTCAGAACCACACCGACAAACCCAAGGAGCTACCCGCCGTGAACTACCCGAATCGACCTGTCTCGAAAGAGGTGATTAGGCTTTTCTTCATATTCTTAACTACTTAATTATAAACAGTACGGTCTAATGTTCATTGTTTTTCCCACCCTAGATCATGGATAACCGCGGCATTGTCAAGTACCGCCACAAACGAGAGCGGAACCCACGTGTTCACTTGCGCTACAAGTACAAAAAAGCCCAAATCCGATACAAATCACGGGTTCCCAATGTGCGAAAAGAGGACGCACCGTACGCTGGCGAACTGCGTGGTATCCGTGTCAACATGATCAAATCGCACAAATTTAAGAAGCCCAGATAAACGACTGTCTCCCCTCCCCTCCCAGTGTCCTCTTGTACAAATTCCTCCAGGATTTCAAATACCAGACTCCTAAAGGCACGGGTTTTGGCCAAAATCACTCAAGCCGACATCAGAAGTCGTCTTGCTACGCGAGTGGAAGGTGTTGGGCTGCATCATTTGTTATTTGGGTCACACAGACGCTGCGATTACAAATCACGGAAGGTGGATTGGAACACTGGACATGGGGCTGCGGAAAGACATCTTGATTATCAGCTCGTTACAAAAATAAGCTTGGTTATGGGGCGGGGCGGCAGTGGGAGTAGGAAATATCACAGCCAGCGTGCCTGGGTTTTTCAGACGAGGAGGGCGTTTCCTGAGATGTGGCCAACCACGAAGGCCGAATGCGGTTTGGAGGGGTAGGAGGGGCTGCGGTGGAGCTTTGGCAGTCTGTCTAGCTGCTTCACGAGCGCTGTGAACTCGGGTCGTTCGTGTGGCCGGTAGGACCAGCACTGTCGCATCAACTCCTAGGTGGTGGAAGAGCATGTCTCAGGGGGGGGGGTGCGTTTACACCAGACACTTTTGATGCGTGCGGTAATAGCTTACCTTGAATTCCCTGGGGCACTGGAGTTTGAGGGTTGGTTTAATTCCAGTGCCAACAAGGTAGACGAGGGTTTCGGTTGGAAGACCTCGGAACGGGTACTCACGGGAGAGAAGCTCGTACCAGACGGTCCTGAAACGGACAAAATTACGATGAAAATTCACGTCTACTTGCTACCACTAAGTAGTGCACCAACACACCCGAACGCGAAGACATCAGTTTCCGGGGTAAACGGAAGATCACTAGCAGGACTGTGGTCGGCGTTGCCGATGTTCAAAGCGCGAATGATTTCCGGAGCAACGTAGCAGAGCCAGTTTGCAGGAACGTGGACGTAGTGCCCAGACCTGCACGATATTTTAATCAAGAGTTTACAGGGTAGCGGACCGATACATTCAGAAAAGTAGCTTACTTCGCCAACTTGCAGAAGTTAACAAAGTTGAACAGAGCAAAGTCAGCGATAACGGCCTTGTAGTTGGTCTCGATGAAGATGTTGCGCGTCTTGAGGTCACGATGGACGATTTGGCGCGCGTGCAAATACCCCATTCCCTTGGCAACCTGACTAGCTATCGAGATGATCCAGTTCGCGCTCAAGGCGTGTTTTCGAATGTGCAACAGGCTGTGCAGTGTCTCACCCTAATTGAAACAAGAAAAACCAGGTAGCTACCAAGTACCCGCTGAGCCTCCACCAACACCACCAAACGGCTCCACACGGGAGACACAAAATTCCACCACTTTGGCACGGTTAATACTTAGATATGCCACGGTTACACATTGCTTAGAGCTGCTTAAGACAACCATGTCTATGTATCAGACGCTCTCTTGAAATTTTAAGTCATCACAAATCGACAAGTAAAATTGTAGAAACGAAAATCTAACTTAAACTGAGGATTGAACAGCGAATTAGTTTTACCAGCATTGATTGAATATAGTGGCAAGTTTCTTATTCGTAATTAGTCTCAGCCGGAGGTCAAATCAATTTCAGGACATAATCCAAGAAGATCAGATATCTCGGTAAAACGGATAAAAACATTGATTTAGATGTTGTGGTAGAAGTAGAGGTTCAGTCCTACGGAACTACGGCATGGTCAGGAATTCATTTACGTGGATTTGCAACGCCTCACATGCAGAGAAGGCGAAAACGTTGGAATCTAGTGGCTGAATTGAATTTGTAATGGGTCGAGTGCAGGGAAGATGCGATTGAGGTTTTTATGGAACCTTAACTTAGATTAATGTCCTTTTTATGCCAGCAAACCGTTTGTAGAGCTAGATTCACCAAAACAGGTTGAAATGATGAAAACAAATATATGTTTATTTGATCCCCGCAATTAACTGTTCCATATACGTCCTCACTTTAGTACCTCAAAAAGTTTCTCTTCATGGTCAGATTGCGGATTTTTGGGGTCAGGGGATTAGTTGTGAAATTTTATTTGCGATTTTATTGGTGCTTCCAATCAGCTTCCAAGTTTGCGCTGTATTCAAATAAAATATGCGCAGCTGCATTTATTCACGTCACCGGAAAGAGCACTTAAAAGCACAACAGAATGGGACTTTCGGTTGAATCCACCTTTAAAATACTCACAAAGTATTTTTGTGTGAAAATTTGCACCCAGTAATGACCAGACAACCTTCACACCCATGCATATTCGGGAAACATGAATTAAGACAGCGATAATTCATTGGTGATAAAAGTACTGAGTTGCTGTGCATGAATTTCAGTTCACTCACAAAAGGAGAGCCCAAATTTGCTTGTCTGCAAGCGCAAGCGCGATCAGACTTCAAAGGTCAACCGCGCAATGGCTTGCTTGTCCTTAAAATTTACTTTTAAAGGTAGCTCAGGGTGAGGAAAACGTCTGGACACAAACACAAATATTCACACACACACACACACTCCTCACTTTACTGAGTTGCGTGACAATCGCCAGATCGGGCGGTTTCGTACAGGCGCCCATGAACAGAACGAGGTTCTCGTGTCGCAGTTTGTGGAGGGCCACCACTTCGCGTTTGAAGGAGTCCAGGGAGAAGGCGCTGCTGTCGTCTCGGTCGTTGAAGTCGATCATCTTCACGGCCACTTCGCCGTGCCACTTGCCGCGATACACCGAGCCAAAGGTTCCACGTCCGATCAATTCACCGAGCTGGAGACTTTGAATGGGAATATTCCACTCTCGCAACGTCACAGACATCTACAGGCAGGATATTCCACGTAAGCATGCATTTGAACAAGCGTTTGCCTTCACAGCATCGACTGCCATGGTATATTTTAAGCCGAAAGATTACAATGACTTTGGATGCATTTTCAATTGGCTGCTTCTTGGCAAATCAGTTAGAGAATGCTGAGGCTATATGCAAGTGCCAAAGTTCGTGATGAAGGCTCGTAAAACACCACATTTTATTGTCTACCTTCGAAGGTCGGTGTGAAGCCATAGCTAATCAGAATAGAGCCATAAATGCATGGCCAAAAAATGAACTCACTTCCCCAAAATCAAATTCACCAATAGCAACGCGAGGCTGAATCCCAGCAACTGCAGCAATGGAATCTACTACACAATTGTTAAATTTATTTAAACAAACATTTTCGCTTTGTACACGGAAGCTGCTTACCGCTACTGCTAGCAGCGTTAAATTAATTTCACCAGTCGGACATAACCAATTGATAGTGAAGAGTGAAGTCCTCAATTCGTTACAAAGTGTCATTTGTTTGGTGTTTGTTTTTAACGCATATTTACCCACAGCATAAGACGAAACGAAGGAGCGAAAATGTAGCCTTAGTAAAGGGGAAACAGTAGCACTTCAGGTGAAGCTTAAAAACAAATGTGAATGACACTTGCATGAACATTTCCAGTTCATTTACAGCAATTCAGAGCATTTTTTAAGCATGGCAAAGCATAGTTGTTTAGGAGCAAGCTAAAAATATGGAGGGCGAAGAAGACAAACAGCCTGGTGGAATTGGTGAAGGAAGCAAATTTCAAGTCAATTCTGGTGAGAAAGCGGTTTTCAGTAAAAGCGTTTCTCCCTACCAACCACAAACTCGCGGTCAAACAACAAGGAGAGCGAACGAGGGGTATTTGTAAGGAACCAAGGCGTCCATCTGGTGGTACCACAACAACGACGCCCTCGAGCTGAATAATTACAAATAAGCATAATTACCACAGGTTTGCGAGCTGTAGGTGGTTTAGCGCCTAAGAAACGAATTAGAACGTATACTGGGTGCGGAAGTATGCCGTGACGATAAAACCAACCACATCCGAGTTTTGCAGCGTTTGGTGGTTAATGGCCGGGTTTCAATTAAGTGTACCGATAAAGGGAAACCCGGAGGAAATAAACGATGAAATGGATAAACTTAAAAGAGTCATGCACAAATCTGCATAAATTTCAACTTCGTAAATACGCAAAGTGGTGTAAGAGTCCAGTAGATCAATTATATAAAAAGGAAATCAAAAAACAAGTTTTTTTATGTCAAATTTAAGAAAAAATCGATTCAAGGAAGTCATTTTGTCAAGACCTTTTAAAAATGCAACTGGAGCAGAGTTAGCTTTGTCGATTTTAACCGGTCTGAAGTCCACTGGGAATCTAATCGTTTGGTGGACATCCTGTAGGCGAAATTCGCACCAAAATAGACCAATCGGACTCAGGAATCCCTCTCACCACTCTCTTCCTTCTCCAGGCATTTTTGTGAAATTGAGCGATGCACGTGCGCCTCCGTTTGACAAGTACACATCGCTAGGCATCGAAGTATCCTACATCACAACTTCCTGCAACCTTAAAACGCGCCAAACTGATCTTCGAAGTGGACACGAGAATGCCCTATCCAGCCACAAGCCTGTTTTCCCACTCTAACTGTCACTCACTGTCTGATGGCCCATTGACGTAGGCGCTTGTCAACAAGGCCGTCGAAGCTGTCCCGTTTTTCCACTTCTCCCCTAACAAAAACTTTCCCAAATGGATCGGTCCTTAATGTTATGGGGAAACTCGGCAGGACGTTGCCGACGACGTTA